TGGCCTTTCTTTATGTTTCCGTGTCTATCCCACTTCCTCTCTTATTATTCTTTTCTTTTGTTTTTTACTCAGTCCGTGTCCTTTAGTCTCTCCACTCCATTTGTTTTCTGCTCAGTGTCTTCCTTTCCGTCCCATTTATTTTCTGTTCAGGTTTTTTTTTATTTCTTTTCTCCATTTTGCTTGAAATTGATCCTAAAACAAAATTAACTGCACATTAACACAAGGTAAGGTAAAATGCCACAATTTTAACACAAAAACATCACAAAGACTTTAGAAATGGATGGTATAAATGTATGAAATATATGAGTGATCAACCACATCAAATCTCTAGTTCACCCAATTCTTCTTATTTGCATCATTATTGCCCTCATCATCATCACCATATTCCGTCCTATTTGTTTTTTGTTATTATTTTTCTCCATTTTGCCGAATTTGATTCCTGTAAAACAGTATGTTATTCTTTCATTGAACCAAAAGTTCATATATATCTGAGTCGTTTTGTTCCGGATTTTATATGTATCTGTTCCATTGTGTATTATGATATGGTGACACGATATAACATAATTCATCTAGTTAGCTATGTCCCACTTGTCATGTTATTATTTCTTGTCTTATCTTTCTTGTATCATACTCCATTTATCAAATGAGCTTTCAAACAATTTTTAAGATGAAGAAATTGGGGTTAAATAATCATACATCAAATTGTGCTATGGGTTGGACATCTGATCATTAACAAAATTTGGAATATTCCCAACTTAATACCTATCTTAATAACCTGTAAATTCCAAAAAATTTAAGATATGAAAATTTTAGAGCTTCACATGCTAGTCTTCATTATAAACAGTCGTCTGAATAATCGAATATGTAATTGTTTTCAAGCTTGATGTTCTGATAAATAGATAATGTCTCTGAACGCAAAAACTTGGATCCTATTTGCAGACACTTCGAGAAAAGCACTTCTGATTATATGAAGCAACCCTTCTTAATTCGAAAATATGTCATCTGAGTTTCGAAACTACAACGGTTTCGGTTTATTTTAGACATTGGCTCGAAAAAATTCCAACATCTTTTACGTAGAGATAGTACAGGTAACGGCGGGAACAATATAAAGGAACGTACTCGTACAAAAATGACCTGTTTCCTATACAATTTTCAATGAAAAGAAGAAAAAATTTATTTGTACCTTAAATTCGATACAACCACAACCAATTTAATTCAAGGAATTTTGGTAAGATTAGAGGTTGAATAACCTCGAATAGGAGATCTGAACGTCAAACAGGAAATTCCAAACTTAATTAACCTAAATCTCTTAAAATTGGAAACTATCTCACAGTAAAAACAATTTAAACCCACATATATTCTTATCATTTAAAAGATGAAATTTCACCTAATAATTTCCGATGCCACCAAATCTTTTGTGAGACAAGATCATTACGCTCTCCCGTCTTCATCAGTTCTAAAATCCAGTTCGAGTGAGCTCTAAGAAACATAGAGAAAGATTCAAACTTGTTAAGTTAACCTAAGACGTCACAAAACGAAAGATGGGATTTCCACACAAATTGAAAGGAAAGGATATGAATGGAAATAAGGGCCGAGAGGGCGAAGGACTTAACAAGCCCTTCTTGGGTGACAAAATCTGATAGATACTCTGGGTTCAGGGCAACACTAGCAGAACTAGTGTCAACACCCCTTCGGTCTTATCGAAGCTTTTGGACGATGTTTAGTTGGGCTTTCGTACAATGGGCTTTGGGGGTCCGAAGAAATTGATTTGGGCCCTTAACTGATAAAATACTATTTTTCTCGTTTGGCATAGTTTTGTTTTTGTAATGTTATAAGGGAAATGATAAACATATTATTGTCTCCACTATCTACGTGTCGGTTTAACTTGACTGTGTTAGGATAGTAGTTATTTAACCTTAATTGGGTAGAGATGAGGAAGAAAATTTGTGTTGAGAGAAAAGGTGATGCAAAATCATTTGGTGTAGCATGAGAATAGGTGATACAGGGGTTCTAAAAAAAAATGAATCATAAAGCGCTCCATTAATTGCGATGTATCTCTGCATCCCAAACATATAAATAGAGTGACTTGCACAAGGGGGTCGGTTTGGTCCGCAGAAACCTTGAGATTCAAATGTTCAAAACGTCCCAAATCCCAAATTAAGATCTAATAACATGTAGTAGAAACGACAAAACACCAAGAGGCCACACATCCACCACAAAGGGCTGACTCAACAGCCCTAATTAACAGAGTCCCCAACCTTAAACCGCGAACGGAAGCTTAAGCGAAGATTCCTTAGACTAACAGAAAGAAGACCATTCTCTCGACAATTAGGGCAAATTATTAACTGTCTACTTAAATGTGGGATGTGTCTTATTAGAACCCACTATTGTTCTTTTTGTTTATGCTTAAACCCTATGTATTGTTTGGTAGTCTTGTTTTCTTCCCCTATGAGCCACAAATAGCTAAACCTGTACCTCTTATGTTTGGTTCACCTATCTCAATAGTAATGTAGAGCTCTCACACGTAGGTACCGAGACAACTTGCGCGAAGGCACAAACTTGACATTTCTCACGTTAGTATAAAAAGTTCCATGAATTTGTGCATCAAGTTTGGCACCGATGGTTGTTAGTATGTGGGCAGGCACGACACTAATTCGAACCTACTTTTTAACAGCTTAATGGATCTGATCAAACGAACCATTGTTCGTACACTCATTGCTTATCAATGATTCCCTCTCCAACTTATGTGGGAAAGCCTATGACATCACTTCAACACCGAACACACCTCCTCGTGCCATAGTCTACATAGTTATGATTTAAATGCTAGGCATTGCCATCTCCGTTTTGAAATGTATTTGGTCATACTACTTAGGTGGTAGGAGGGTTTCAAAGCAAAATAGATAAAGCTGCTCCATTTTGCATGCTCTTGCTCCCAAAATATATAGAGACTTGCAAGGGGTCGGTTGGTCCGCAAAATCCTTGAGATTCAAATGTTCAAAGTCCAAATTTCAAAGAAAGAACTAATAAATAGTAGTATTATTTTAAACCAAGAGGCAAATCACAACGCAACACGTGTCAACAGCAGAATAAAACTCTTAGAGTCCCACATTAACCGCGAACGGAAGCAAGCGACTCTCCTTAACTATAGAAGAAGACCATTCTCCGACAATTAGGGCTAATGTCATTACTGTACTTAAATGTGTCATTAGAACCCACTAATGATGATTATGCTTAAACCTATGTATTGTGCAAACTCTTCATTATTAATCAAAACTCCTCTATCATGTGGACGTAGCCAAACCTAGGGTAAACCACGTACATCTTATGTTTGGTTCCCTATCTCTATCTTTGTACATATTATCCACACTAGGTGACCGGAGCAACTACGCGAAGGTCACAAACTTGACATTTCACGTTGTTCTAAAGTCTCACTGAATTTGTGCATCAACATTTGGCACCGTCTGTGGGAACGACACTTATTCCTACTTTTAACAGCTTCGTCAAACTAGTTTCCATTGTTCGTACACTCATTTTTTATCAGGCATCCCTCTCCAACATGGGAAGCAAAGGAAGTCACAACACACAGAACAACACCTCCTCGTGCATAGTGTGAGGCATCGAAGGAAGGAAATAAAGAAGTTCGCTTTTCAAGCTAAAGACAAAGAGCTGGAAGCTCAAAATAATAAGATAGCCATCAGGAATGAGATCTTCCAAGAATAGTATGAGAAGCCTTTCGGGATGCTCGATGAGGCTTGGAAGACTCAATCTCACAGGCCCATTGCCCATATGGATGTTAACCATCACACGGGTGCCCCTAACACTGAGGGTTACCTGTCTTAACGCATGGCATATATGCAACAAAGTAATGCATATAAGAGTTGAAGGAACTATGAATCATCCTCATCCGAGGCCAAACTCTCGTTAGCTCATGATGCGTCTCACCTTCATCGCCATCACATCCACCATTGCCATTTCCAAGACCATCCTTACCCTGTTGCCTCACCTTGCTGAGTTTGCTCCTCGGCACTAGCATCATCCTCATGCTTCACCTCATCCTGGTACTTCTCAAAGCATGACCAATTAATGACACCTTCACCATGGTATCGCTCGAGAATGGCCACCCCTCATGCCGAATCTCCTGGGATGTAGTAAGGCCCTATAAACTTATGGAAGTCTTGAATGCCCAAAAACTTATGCACGATAGCTTCCCTCTCATCAGGGAGACTCTTTTTTTACTTAGAGACCTCGACTAAGGCACTATCCTGCTCCACTCAAACATTGGAAGCTTCAAGGATAACCACCTCTAGCTACTTTTTAAGCCTTAGGTTGTCCTCATCTTGCCGTTTTACCTTCTCCAAAGCTTGGTCCTTGAGCTTGATGGCCTCAACCTGAGGCTTGTGCTCCTTCTTGGCGTCGTCCATTAGCTTTTTGCCTTCTCGAAGCTTTTCATTGCATTGCTCGACCACCATTAGCCTATCATCATACTCGGTCATGACCTACATGACATGATGGTGTTAATGTCAAAGGAAAACAATGACAAAGAAAAAATAGGAGAAAGTAAGGAAATGACAAAATAACACTTACAAAGGCATATAGTTTCATCATCATGTCATGGTCTGACTCATTCTCAACAACTGGCTCGTCGAACTCAGCAACAATTGCTTCTTGCCTTGCAAGGCAATTGTTCACATACAGAAAGCTCATAGCAACCTTCAAATCCTACGAAGAGATGTTATCGACCTCTTCCCTATCAAACCATTTTTTTTAAAAGGAAAACTAACCAAAATGGCTTGAAAACTTTAGCTTTTAACCAAAAACCATATTGTAAGTTTATTTAATGGTTAATACAAAGCCCACTTTTATATCAGCCCAAATGAAATGGCCCAACCAAAATAACACAGTGATTTGTCAATTTTACCCCTAACGGATTTGGTCAACCTAACTTAATTATTCTGTTAGATTAGTTATTTCGAAATTAGCCTAACCTAACTAATTGAATTTTTATTTTGTAGAACATTTGCAAAGTTTTTCACTCTGCAATGTTCTTCAATTTTTTTTCCGAAAATGGTTAAATGTTTTGAGAGTGCATTTTCAAATTGTGATCGTCGTTGTTCTTCGTTACTGTTAGGGTGATTTTTCTGAAACAATCATTTGTTTCAAAACAGTTTCACAGTGGTTGCATGTTTTGAGATCGTTATCATCGATGTTGATCGTCGTGGTTGAATATTTCACTGGAGTGATCATCTTTCTTATTTTGATTAGATTTTTGTTTGGAGGTAATCAGCACTGTTTTTGCAGTTTTGAATGCGATTTTGTTGTTGGTGTTGTTTTTTTTTTTTTTTTTTTTTGCATGTAATATTCTTAGCTTTTTCTTTTGACTTATATATTTTTGTTGATTTGTTTTCAGATTAGCAGATTGATTCCGGTTTTTGAAATTTTCAGTTAACAGTTTCTTATTTTGAAGAATCTCAGGTAAGTTTTGATTTGTTTTGTTTATATTGTATATTGTTCATATTGCTTTTGTTTTCATTTTTCAGAAATTTATTATGAATTAATTCATATTCATCACATTTGATGTGTTTAACATTTTTCAGAAATAGTTTTATTTTTTATAAAATAGTGGTTATTATAATGATTTTCAGTTTACTTTTTGTTTTGTGATTGTTATGTTTTAGAAATAGTGTTATTTTTTGGTTCATTTTATATGTATATTGTATCACAAATAGGTACTGATTTGTTTTACAAAGATTGGAATTTAGTTTTGCAACAGATTAATAAATAGTTGTAAGTTGTTTTTATATTTTGTTGTTGTTTATTGTTAAGTGCATAAAAGATTGTGTATTGATTTGAATTGTTTTTTTTTTTGTTCAATAGTTATGGAGAATAGTAAACTAGCTCAGTTTACATATGATGATTTATCCGTTGTTAGTTCTACTTCATCAACTTCTACCTTCAATCATATTTGCATTGATCTTTGTTCTAGGTTTAACGGTTTGAGAGTTGATTGTTTTGAGTTGCGATATGTTTTGAATGAATATCCTACTTGCCTATTAGATTGTGATGCCGATGTTATGAATATGTTGATGATTCTTGATGTTGTTGGGAAATCCATTGTAAAAATATTGGTTATGGATAAATGTGATGGTTCTATGGTTCAGTTACTTACAGAAAGCATATCTTCTTCTTGTCGTACATCAGACTTTATGATTGTTGTTAGTGAAAATGATCATTTAGGCAAGTATGGTTCTCATGGTGTTCATAATTATATGTCATGTGAATGAGATAGTTTACATAGAATATGAGGGGTAAGTTTTTAGTTGATTTTCAAGATAGGTTGAAAAAGTTTCTGTTTAATGTGGTTTTGATTTGAAGTATTTGAAGAATGATAAGAATCGCATTAGTGGTGAGTGTTCTAGGAAGGAATCTGATAGTAATATTTGGCGTGTGTATGCATCCAAGTTGATATTAATGACATTTTTGTTATTCGGAAGTTGCATAATGTGTATACATGCAAGGGTATGATTCAAAAAAAGAAAAACAAAGTTGTTGGACGGCAGTTTGTTACTTCTCTCATCAAGAATAAAGTTCAATAAAATCCTCTTATTAAACTGAAGGAGATAATTTCATACTTAAAACAGTTTTATAGATTAGATATTGATTATTCTACTGCATACTTTGGCAAAGAGAAGACTGTTTTTGAGTTAAATGGCGATGATGTTGATGCTTATAAGTTCTTGCCTTGGTATGTTGAATATGCCCGTTTAAGCAATCTTATATCTATTTTTGAGCTTGAAGTTGTACCGGAGAGCAATAGATTTTTTTCGTTTGTTTATTGCTTATGATGCATGGATAAAAGGTTTCATGTTTTGTCGCTCAATGTTATTCATTGATAGTACTTTTATCAAGAGCAAATACAAGGGAACACTTCTATCTTGCTGTGCAAAAAATGACAACAATGGTGAGTTAATAATTTTAGACTTTTATACTCGATATTATTTGTTTATGTTTTCTTACTGTACAAAAGAAACATATCCAGAAATAGTTGAATAACAATTTAAGAAATAGTTCAATGACATTTATAGAAATAGTTCAATCAGTCTCATAAATAATTGATATTTGATTGTATCTGTATCTTTTTGTTGTGCATAGGTCTTTGATTTTTGTTGATGCACAAAATCCGGAGGATCTTGGACCAACGTAAATCCGACCGTGAATCACACAAATGCACAAGAACATAAAGATGTATCGTTCACCACAATGTTTGGGCTACGTCCACACTAATGTTGATTCCATTTACTGTATGAATGTATGTATTACAATAGATTGGTAAATCAGCTCTCTGTGGATGCAGCCCTTGCCATTTGCTCTCTGTTTGGCTGAGAGGGTATTGCCCTCCATTGTTGTGATGGATGGATCTGAGGCCCTTTGTTTCTCTCTGGATGTGAGGCCTCTCTAGTGAAGGTGAGACCTGAATGTGTCTCCTTAATGAGGGTGAGGGAGAGTCCCTTTTATAGAATAAGGGCTCACTCCCCTTTTACATTTGTCATGGGCTTAGGGATGAGGCCCAAAGATGAGGCCCAATATATGGTACCAACAGGAGTCCCCCAAGTCTTCAGTCAAGAGAGTCTTTTGGCTGGAGACTTCAAATCTAATCCATGTACGGGCCAAAGTGGCTAGATGTCATGAACCAGTACTTAACACAAGGCAATGCTCAACATAAAGCAATACTCGGCTAGAGGTATCACACGTTACGAGACTGCTCGGCTAAAGGCGGCTCGACTCGTGGTATTCCTCATTGCAAGTATGTACTTTATGTCAGCGTGAACTCAGTATGAGTTGATTCTCGACATGATTCAGGTCCGCTTGTCGGGTTCTCATATTGGGTTCTTTTAATCAGCAACAATGTTGATCAGTGGATCTAGTTGCTCAATAATTCCTGAAAATAAATGACAGTATAAGTATGACCGTATAATGAATAAATCAAATTGACAAAGTTTGTCAAGGTAAAATATTATACTATGTGCCTTCTATAAATAAATAATTTATTTAGTCGTGTGGTAAATCACATGTTGTATAAGTGACATAGTTTAATAGCAGTCACAATACTCTAGGCCATGAATAAATATTGCACATGTACTTGGGTTAAATATGTGTCACTAGGTGATGAGTAATATATATATGTATATGTATATGTATATATATATATATTATGTCACACCCCAAAACTTGAGGTGTGAGATTAAGTAAAATAAATAGAACAAAGGGGTCGTTTAAGGATGCAAAACAAATCTCATCTTAAGATTATGTCGACGAAAATTTAAATCCCCCAATTTCCATAAAGTTAAACTACAAAAGTCAATTTAAAGAAATAGAGTTAAAGATCTCATGGTATACAAACTACAAAAGCGACCTGAACCGTAAAATTCACCGAAAATAGCTCGTTCAACCAAAATGCGTGAAAATTTTCAGATCCAAAGTAAACCCATGAAACTAAGTTGTGTCAAAATTTCATTGATTTTCGAGTTCGGGAAGTATAGGAAAATGTTAAAACTAAAACAAGCATGCTACTGTTTTCCTGTAAGAACAATTTCAGCAGCTCCAAATTACTTTGCAAATAAAACTATCTATATTCCAAAGAACAAAAATCTGAATTTTTGCAACATACCACTTAGGTAATAGATACACACCCACAGTTTTAAACATAACCAAGTTCATAGTGGCTCTTCAAGAGCCATTCATAAAACCTTACAGATTAAAATAAGTTCACAAAAGACCTTTAGGGCTTCTAACAAGAAAACATTTTCAGGCTATTTGAGGAAAATGTACATGGGCAAAACTATACAAGCCAAAAGACGAGTAGTTATATATACACGGTTTTCATAGCCCAGGTAAGTAGAATCTCCAACCCACCGAGGTCGACATCATTTTAGCCTACTACGCCACAAAAGGATCATTTACAAACAGAAACTAACTATACAAACACTTTGGCAGCTCACCCAAAAGAAGTGTACGCCTGGACTCCCGTCAACTAACCCACACTAGAGTTGCCACTTGAAAATCAGCTAGTTGACTCTACACACCTGAAAGTACATGTGTAGAAAAACAGGGTGAGCATAAAATGCCCAGTAGGGGTAAGTCTGTAGTCATTTAAAATCTCTAGTGCATGCCGAAAGTAATAAAAGTGATTCAAAACAGTTTATTTTCACCACCACGTAATCCAACAATTTGAAATATGCTCAAAAATTTATGGAAAGTAACATATGACAAAAAAAACCAAAGGTTTCAGAGCATTGGCAGCTTGATAATAACAGTACAACACACAAGTTCAAAAATCACTTCTTTTGTCATAAGGATACCAAAGCCATTATCATTTAAAGAATCACTAGCACACCAAATCACAAAGATCTTCTTTTATCCCAAACAAGTGACAAGCAGATTGGAAAGAACCGTAATATACCTGGCCAATACACATATCACATGTATTTATCACTTTCGTAACTCATTCTCACAGCCCCCACACATGGAGCTTTCCCCGGGGAACCTTGGGTCATTGTGCCCATAATCAAACAACTTCACGGGTCATTGTGCCCATTCATACATTTCTCAACATTCTTAACTGCACAGGTATTACACTACTTTCCATCTACTTTCACAATTTGAACATTCGTATTGAGATGCTTCAGTATTTGGTATTGAGTAAAATAAGAGGCATGCACATCAAAACAAAATCTCGAAAAATCATTTCAATCACTTTAAACTCACCCAAGTTGTAGTAACGGAATTCGAATCATTAAGATCAAACCATAGTGAAATATTTTCTCCACTTCTTTCACATAATTGAAAAAGAAAACATTTTAAGTAAGCTAAAAAAATGTTCAAATGCCATCAATCCTTGATCAAGTAAAAATGAAAAACCAAAATATTTTATTTTTTTTATTAAAACTCCCCTACCTCAACACAATTTCTTGATATTCAAATCCAGGGTGTTCGTAGACTTGTGTTGTCCCTTTGTCCTTCTCTTCCTTATCTATAAACAAGAAAAATCATTACACACCACTTATACAAATATCTAACAACATACCCTAATTCAAGGTTAATTGGGGACTTAAATCAAACACTTGGTGCTCAACTCTAAAACTATAACATGAACTATGATACCTTCATGTTCTTTTACTCCCACCCAAACTAATTCATGGGTTAACAAACCAAAAAATCAAATAGATCCCAAAGGTAAGAAATAGATACCTTAAATGGAGACAAAGGAAAGATCCTCACTTGTTCTAATCTTCACAAGCAAAGAAAACTAAACTCCTCTTCCTTAGATTTCCTTTTTGACAAGTGAAGAGCTAAAAGGAGTAAACCCCTTTCATTACTTTCGGCTGGAGGGAAGGCAAGAAGGGAAAATAGGGATTTCTAGAACCCATCCCTTTTTTTATATCCCAAACGTCAACTTTACCTTTTTTTTTCTTTATATATTTTAATGGCCCAAGGCCAATTGATCTAACCTTAAATAAGGCAAAACAATTTTTGCTAACAAAGACCACAAGTGATTCACTCTTAATCCCCACTTAAAATTTTCGGGATATTACATATTATATATTTTTATTCAAGTTGTTGATATCCAATTTGGTCAGACTTGTCACATGTTATGGGAAATAGTCATGTGATAAACCATTAATAAGATACAAAGACTAATGATATTATAACAGAATTAAGCAGCGCGTGAACAACTAGTATGTAGCCTGTAATGCTGCTCCTAGTGTGTGTGATGCAAACATCAAATAATAAAATAATATAAAGACATCGTGCGGACTAGCCTGTATATTTTCGACTGCCAACTCACATCCTCTTTCAGCAAATAAAAATAAAAAAGGAAAAGTAAAGATATCATCATGATGTTTGTGGGGAAGGTTTAGAGCAAAAGTAGGAATATATTCACTTTAAGTAGTTGACATTTGACAATGCATTTTCACTTATGTTGTGCAGAAATTTTTGAGGTTGCTTATACTATTGTTGATTCAGTAGCGACAGCAAATTGGAGATGGTTCTTGTCAATATTATTTGGTATATTGAGGTCTCAAGGGAGGGTGATCACGTTTATGTCAGATAGACATGATGGTATTTTAAAGAGCATTCGAAAATTCTTTCCCGAGTCTCTACATTCATTTTGTATTGTTCATTTGAAACAGAATGTCAGTACTTTATTTTCAAAGACTGCTGGTGAGGGACTAAAGAAGAAAATGATGAATCTTTTGGCAAATTGTACTTACGCATGTACTCCATCTGATTTTGATGATTGCACAGCGGAATTCAAGGATAACAGCAAGGCCATGTGAATAATTTTTTGTGTGATTTGCCAAGAAAGAACTATGATATTGCCCATTTTCCTGGTAAGAGATGGGGATTGATGAGCAATGCACTTTTAGAATATTTTAACGTCATGGTGTCGAATAGTCGTTGCATGCCACTTATGGATCTTCTTGAAGACATTAGAGTTCAATAGAGTTTAACTGATGGTTAGTATGGCTGAGAAAAGAATATTTGGTCAGACTATTCATATGATTTTGTATCCAAAGAAAGAAAATGAGATGAAGTTGTTGTTGAATGAGGGCATGCATTGGAAGATTAGTCGTTCTGATGTGGATGTTTTAAGTTAGGACGGAGTGAAATCGGTTTGTTGTTTGCCTGGATGATAGGACATGCTCTTGTGTGCAATGGCAACATAATTGTTTTCTATGTTCTCATGCTTGGCAAGTGTGCAATGGCAACTATGTTGGTTTTCATTATTGATCTAGTTAATCTTCCATTTTAAGTAAAAGGAAAAAAAAAACATCGCTCAATTTTTTTATCAAACTTTGGTTGGCCAACAATTTGGTTGGATTTAAAATTAGTTGATACTTATGTATAATGATTTTAATTTTTAATTTTTATGACTTTAATGAAACAGATTTCATTTTAATAAACAGTTGTTAAAGTTATGAAACCGTGTTTACAGTTCCAGCAATAGTTTGTATATGAATGCATAAATAGTGATCTTCTTTTTTAAAATAGTCGTGTGTATGGCTTTTGATGTTTCAACATCTTATTAATGTTAACTTGCTATATAAATTTGGGCTTTTTGTTTTTTCCAACATACATTCACACAAATCAAAATAAATTAAAATTTAGATTAAGTAATGAAACATATATAT